CGGTCCCTAGCTTCATGAGAAGGCGCCGTCACGGTGTGGCGGAAAGTAGGTTTCAGGGTTCACATTCATGTTTTGGAGGGTTTTTAACCTATAGAATTTTCGGCTTAGCACGCGCAAAATTTCCACCCGAAGGCATAAACGCCGTAAATTAACCTAACCACAAGGCGTGGCCTTGCCTTCCTCTGTGTGAGATCGCGAGTGAAGGCAAAAACAACACCCCCACACAAGCGATAACACCACTATTTCTCTCCGCCAAAACCGAGTTCTGACCCCCCCTTCTCCATCTATCTAGGCGATACAACACGCGGCACGGACAACCCTCCTGGCGCAGGTGTTAGCTTGGTTGAGGACACCATCCAACTCCGGTAGTCAATAAAGACACTTCCACACCGGCAGAGTACTTGATTGCCTTATCCCAATCCACCAAATCTCGCTCCGGTTGCTACTGTATCATGGAAACTCTGGCTGCTGAAAGTGCTCCAGCTTCAAGATCGAAACCTGGCCCTATTGTTGCGTTACATAATGACTAAAGCAGAGAAGAAATGGCAGAATCTTTTACCAGTTGAGCCTTTTATTATTATTTACATTAGCATGAATACTTGAACACGCGCCAGTCCGAGTATATCCATGCTAGCCCATAACCTTCTCCTACAGATAGACAGAGCCTTGTACAAAGTACATCGCCAAGCGGGGTCGCATCGCGAAAGCGATTTCCTGGAGATACAAGGAACACAATAAAAGTTAGCGCCCGAGAAATTTGCTCCAGTGAACACCGCCACAATATCTAGACTGAACCCTGTTTAGGCGGAGGGTCTTTGGTCCAGGTCGCGATTTTCAGCGCAGTATTCTTCATCCTTGCGGTTAACGGTGTTTGCGGCAGCGTTTGTGGGGAAAACACAAGTAACCCAACAAAAGGTGGAAGGATAATTTGGATGGTTGTGTTGCAGCTGCTTGTCGAGTGGGGTTAGGGGAGTTCCTTAAGCTTTCACGGGAGTAAGCGATAATTTTGTCTATCTCATTCGTTGCTGCTCGGTTGAATTGGGGGGGGGGGGGGTCAAAGCAGTAGATTATCGCTTACTCCCGGGAGTAAGCGATAATCCGTCTGTGACTCTGAACACCGTGGACAACGCAACATATGAATGCAATAACCGCTTATCCGCTACAAATTGACAACTCTCAAAACTCACCCTACTAGAAACCATTGCAGTCATTTTGGTTCTGGAGACTCGTTTCTTACCGAAGCTGGCGTGAGGCTTTGGTAACTCGGTTGCAAAAGCAAACACACTATCGCTCTACATTTGGGGTTCTAAAATCAACGGGTCGAGGAAGGCGATCTAGGATAGTGGGACTAGTAGCTGTGGCTTCGGAGCACTATAAAAACCTGAGTAAAAAGCAAGGTTCCCCAACCATTTTGGGAAAGGGAACGAGTGGGCAGGTGGCAAAGGGCGACGTTGTTCCAGCATGAATAGAAGGATCTTGTCGCTTCCAGCTCTAGGGGCGTTGATTCCACTCACGGTTGGATTGGGATACCGGTAATAGCTTGTTTACGGAGAGTGGCGCTCTACTGTTACGAAAATATATTCCATGGGGGTAGATACGGTATTTCAGAACGCCCCGGCAGGCCCCCGAAGCTGAGCTAAATATTCGCATCCAAACGAAAACAAGGGAGTATGATACCCATCCGCCAGACATAGAAATGGCCGATGGAATGCCGATGACCAACTTGGTTAGTGCTCCGGAAAAGGACGATGACGCACCCATAGCCTCGGACGCGAATACCATCTCAAATGGCATAGGCAACTGCATTAGAGATGCCAAGGAGAATAGAAATCCTCGTTACTGGCACTCTGGCGGATGACGGCGTGGCGAGGGCGAGAATTTCCTGGGCACTAGGCGGGTTCTGGGGGAATGAGGTCCCTAGGGAGGTGATCATGCTCCGGCCAAATAGAACAGTCGGTGGGTTCTCGGGGGGTCTCACAAGGCACTCTGTGCCCTAGGCTACCTTTACCCGCACAAAGATGGGGAAGAGGGCTATTAGTATTGGCAATGCGTATGATAGATTGCATTGCTTTACATTGCGCCCCTCCGGGGCCACACTATACTACAGTGTAACAGCGGCAACACCCTAGGCCAGCCAAGGTGCCTACTAGACAGACTTTTTTCTTTCTGCTGTCCTTCGTTTTTCCTTTTCCCCGGAAGTCTATATCTTGCATTCTCCGAATTGTTGGGATAATATAATAAATCTGCTAGTTAGCCGTTATAGTGTCTGATGCTCGTATAGCGCAGTTTGAAGCAAGAAAAGTCGCGTACCGCACTGCTCCGCGGCATGTTGCGTGGTCCAGGATACAAGGACTTCATAAGGGACAACTTCGTAATATGTGCGGCCCTCCTTCTCCTTTTTTCCCAAACAAAAGTCATGATCAAAACGACTCTCCTACAAACTGTTAATATGGATAACAGCGGATGGCCGGTCACGCAGCGGTAAACGAATAAATGAATATGTAGAGAACTGTGGCGGTAGAGGAATAAGAATAAGAGTTAAGGTAAAACACAACTTTGTTTCGCACCCCCCCAAACTGACATTAAAGACAGCTGTATAAGTGCGGAATAAACAATGAATCCTGCTCCTTCCATCGATCACCACACCTTTCACTATCTCTCTATGCATACTGCTCTTTCCTCCATATGCTTCCATGATAACAAAGGAAAGACATGTCTAACGAAACTCTCCCATCGATCCCTAAACCTCCACACTAATCCATGAAACATCTAAACTTGCTGCCACACTACCGAACCTTCCACAATAAATCCCAATCCAGCCACATCCATCTAGAACCTTCAACATAAACCTCCTCCTAACCCACCCTGCGCCCATTGCTCACGGGAGCCCTCTACTATCGCATAGCTCTCTTTCTCAGCAGGCAAGACATACCGCTAGCCGGATCGAGTGCGTCGTACCAGGCACATCGGGGGACCGGGCGTTCGGGGGTGGCCCGGTTGTATTTATCTTCCTCAATGACCGGGAGGAGGGTGCGGGGTGGGTCGGAGTTGGGGTTGGCGGGGTGAAGGGATGGGTTGCTGTGGTTGGTGATTGGGAGGGGAAGTGTGATAGTGGGTGGAGTGGCCGGAAGGGGGGAGGGGCCTTTTGGACTTGTGGACTTTGGGCTAATTCGCGAGTGTGTATTACGGTGTCTTACGGCGGTGGGTGACAGGATGGGAGCTTGTTTTCCTGGGTCTGGTGGTGGGTTTCCATGTGACGGTGTTGTAGAAGCGTATCACCCGGAAATTGGAGTTGTGTTATAGAGTATCATATGCTTGTGCTGTGCCAGTCAGGGAAAGCGAGCGTTTTTCTCCGCTAGGGCCGACTGGCAAATGGGTATTCGCTATGACCAATATGATCACCCATGCGTATCCCACGACACCCTGCAGTCAATGCCCCGGAATCTCGTTACCATGCACCTGACCTCACAGCCCTCGTGCAGCGGCGGAGTAAGCCTATTTCCGAAATGACCCTGCTGGAGGAACCTGGATGAGTTTAGTGGAGATATCGCTTTGATCTAATACTTTTTTTTCTTCCCTTTCTTTCCTCTTTCCTATCACCCACCTAGCTAGAGAGGCCATTAGACGTCATGTCGGGGAATGGGGCTTTGGAATACCCCAGAGACCGCCGGTTGAGGTTAACTCTAATGCACTCTTCCTATAATCTGTACCTCTCATATATGATATAAATATGACCCCGCGGCGCTACCCTTGCCCCCTGACGCACACAGTCCTGGTTCGTGCTTACCTTCCCCCACCATATTACAGTCTCTTTGCATACATTTGTGAACATCGGACATTTGCAACAAACGATAGAGGAAGGAATCACCACCTGTCACTCGGTTAGTACAAGGCAATGGGTTCGTCCGGGGTATTTATGTAGTCTATGGAATGATAGGGCATATTACGGCATATCATTCTAGGCTTGCTGGACTCTGTTGGGTTGGTGTAGAAATAACCATACCCCAGTTATCGATAGAGCAGGAAGAGAGAGGGGGCCGGTTTACCTATGGCTATTAGTAGGGCGGGGAGAAGGAGGATTACATACAGAAGGTATTGTATTCAGAGAGGTAGAAGAAGGCCTAATTTAGGGCTTTGGATACGTGATTAGCGATAGCCCGTGACGTTCCGAATATGAATGCTGTGGACCCGACTTGCCTCTTTCTCAGCGGTGTGTCTAAGTGTGAGTGCCATCCTTGTGCGCTACGGAAGCTTTATCGTCTGTGGATCTTGTCCCGCAATCCACAGATCTCTGAAAGTTGGCTGTTGAGGATTCGTGTGTTGTAAGGGGGGTTCAATGGATTGGTTTATTGGGCGCTTCTATGGCAGGAGGAACTATTACTCGGCATTGAATGTCATGGTACTGGATAACGTTTTTCGGGTTTGTGCCTTTCTCGCGTAGCTTACGGTATCCCTTTGGTGGTACTGTGCGGTGGGGTGGGGTCAGCCTAAAGGGGGAGGGGGTGGAAACGCGGTAGACAAGGTTCAACAATTCCCGTTCAGAAGTGGCTTAAATTGTAAATTACCAGAGAATTGCTATATGATCTAGTGGTGCAGAATTATGTAAGAAAGCGGACAAAAAGATGAGCGTAGTGAAATGCTAGAAAAGAGCATACCCGTCTAGATTACGGGTGTGATGAAGCCTGCAAATGAAAATCCCTATAGAAACAGTGTCATACTTGACATATCGTCCCGCCTGCAAATATGAAAATCCAGCACAAATGAGATTCTTATGACAGAAATTGAAACAAGCAAGAGAAGTGTATGTGGAAAGTATATTCAAAAGGTGATGAATTAAGGAAATGGGTGAGTCCCCTGTGAGCCGGGTGTGACAAGTGGTCGCAGGTAGAGGGCGTAAGTTAGGGCTCGGGAAATAGGGCGGAGCTTGAGAAAGTTAGCCTCACTGGAACGAAAGGCAGTGGGGAAATACTGGGACTCTTTACTAACCAGATATCTCAGGCACCCGTGTGTACGAAGGGGGCCCATAGGAGAGGGCTGCCTGGTTTAGCGTCTCGGACTTTCTTCACAGCCTTATAAAAAGCGGTAGAGACACGCTGGTGGTCGTCTTCTCCGCTTTCTCGATTTTGGAAAAGCATGTTGTAGAAGTCTCTCGCAACTTCACAGGCCGCATTGTCATTGGTTTCCCACATGTTTGCGAAGGTATGAGTGAATCCGGCGAGTTGAAATGCGCTGGCTAGGTGTATCACTTCGTCGGCTAACCCGGCAGAGGGGTTTTTGGCGGATGAGCAAGCCGAAAGGTATGCGATCTGGGCATTTTGCGCAACCAGATTTGAAATATCCCGAGCAAGGAGTTTGTCAGCATTATATCCATTTTGGCTAAATAGAGCCAGGTGACTGTCCGAAGGGTTCATGCAAGACTTTCCGTGACAGGCAAAGTGGACAATGTCGTGGTGCTTAACTTTCTCGAGAACTTCTGCCGGGGTTGGATTCGCCACAACTGTGGCCTCAATCGAGTTTTTGTCCGTAGAATCAAGTATATGTTGAATTTCTTGACCAACACCCGGCAGGTCAGCGGCACCGGGCGTTTTCGGCATGGGAACGAGAAGTAAGCGAGGATTCCGTTTTTGGAGAATTTTGGCTTTCTTGGAGCGTCCCAGCGAAAAGGAAGCTCCATATTCATCGAATAGCTGGAGGTGTGATTGGCGTGCGTAGGAGAGGGCTTTTATTGTCGGGATATATGTTGAGATGGCTCGACTTAAAGTGTTTCGGGTTGAGCCTGGCGAATGATCCCCGGCAGCATGGAAGGGCGCCATACTTAATTGCCCTACCCCGATCCACCAAATCCGCCTCGAATTGGTGTCGTGAACACTCTCGCTGAAAGGGGTTCCTTCCCATTGAAGATGGTCAATAACGGGCCCTACTGCTACGTCCCACAACCAAAGCAGGAGTCCTTTCAGCTTCTTGGTATCCTGACCTTGCTTAACCAGGGATCCTCCTCCAAAACTGGCCAATTGCTTCATGCGGCGACTTGTTTCTTCGTACTTCAATTTTTGAAGGTGCAAGGAAGTTATAGCTGAGGTGGTGACAATTATGGCGTCGCTCCTATAAGCGGTGCAGTTGAAGACAACGATTGGACCATTGGTTGCCATTTTCATCAGTGCATCCTGAGAAGGCGGAAGCAGGAATCCGGCATAGCCTGGTAAACTACGGATGTATCTTAGAGTTTCTTCCATCTCATTGACAGCATCCCACCGTCTGGATATAACACTATTTTGGCATTTATTGGGTGTTTCACCACTTGTGTTGTTGATTCCATCTGCTGGCGAGTCAATCTCAACTCGAAGACGGTGAAATCGGGCGAATGTGAGTGGGTGGTCAGTTTTGAGGTCCGAAACATCAGATCTTGAGTCAATTAAAATGCCCATAATTATCCCACGACCAAGTTCTAGTATCTTGAGACCGTCATAGGCTGATCTCCCGGCCTGAAGGGCAACGGAAGCGGCAATTGAGGCTAGGCCGGAAATTTTCGACAGCATGTGCTGCTGGTCATCGCGTTTGAGGAATCGTAGATCAACACTGGGTATTAAGTTGACTGCATCCTCCAGTATGGAAATTGATTCTCCAAAATTTCCAGCCGAATATAGTAAAGAAGCTGCTTTGCGAGCCGCGTGAATACGCACCCTGGGCGGCGAGGTGCGGCAACCGTGAGCATCAATGTAGAGGCGGAGGCTTCTATTTGGGTCATTCCCGGGGTTAGGCCGCGAGAATCGTGAATCTAGAAGTGAACCGAGGAGAGCGCAGACATCCGCACGGAGTGGATGATCTCGGGGGGTAGCAGCTAGCGCCTTGTCGGTGTGCTCAATGGCTTTCTGGAGGTCTCCTAGGTCTCCTATCCTCTCAAACCTTGAATACAACAAGGATCCCAAGTTAT